GTGTGAACCCACCCCAGGGAGCTCCTGCATGTGCCGGGGAAACGATGATGCTCTCCCAAAAACAGTGCTCTCCTCAAAAATGATGCAATTTCCCCCCCCAAATTATGCACATCCCAAAAAGTGATGCACCCCCCCAAAATCAGCCATGCTGGATGTAGCACCTGAACACGACTGGCACACTGAGGGGACACAGCCGCCAGGGATGGCTGAGCTGGGCTTTCTGCCTGGCCATCAACACAGGAGGGGTCTGGGGACACAGGAAAGGGGTGAAGGCAGTGCAGGAACGAGCTTTTTGGGGGCTCCTTCCTCCCTGCGACATGTCCGGCTGCCAGATGTACCTCTGCATGAGGGCGTCTCAGTCGCGGGCTTGTGCCCTGTCCTGGTTCGGGAGTGGCGGATGAGCTGGTACCAGTGGTCGATCCTGACCCCTGCCTGGGGTGCCCTGCTGGACATGAGGGCTTTCCTTCCGCCCGCCATTTTCTCTTCAGGTTGATGCTCAGTGCAGCTCAATGCCAAGTTGTTTTTCTGTTTTATTTTATTCAGGCCAGGTTGGACAGGGCTTTGAGCAGCCTGGGCTAGTGGGAGGTTTTCCTTGCCCATGAGGTGGTTTGACTTGGGGAGCTTTAAAGTCCCTTCCCACCCAAACCATGCTGTGACTGTAAGGCCCCTTATGGGCTTCTCCACTCACCCATCCCTATCAGGGACACAGCTGCACATTTTTCCCCTCAGGGCAGGGCAGGCCTTAACCAGAGGCAAATTAAATCCCTGTCCCAAGGCCCTCAGGCCAAGGTTTAGTCCAAGCTGAGCCAGAGGAGGCCCAGGTTTTGGAGGCTGGTCAAAGCGGGAGGAGAAGTGGCCGATGCCTGCAGCCGCAGAGGGGAAGAGAAAGGCCAGTGAGGCGGGGAGATGGCGGCTGCCCCTGCCACACGCCGGGGATCACGCTGGAGCGGAGCAGCTCGACCCACAGACAGATGAGTCAGAGGTTTCGGGCACAATGGGAAGCGTGGGCTCAGCAGGGACAGGGACATGCCGGGATGGGGACATGCCAGGCTGGGGATGTGCCGGGATGGGGCCTCAAGGCCACCAAGTGCTGCATTGCCGTAAGCAAAACCTCCTCTGGAAGAGAAACGTGGGTTTTGCCTGCCTGGTTGTGTTGAGAGGAAGGCAATGGGTGAACTCACGGTGACGTGCATGGAGAGGGCCATGCCACACGGCCTACCCATCCTGCTGGCAGCTGGAGCGGCCCCTGGAGCTGGCTGGGGACCAGGGACCACATCCCAGCTCTCCAAGAGCCATCTTCATCCCAGCAGCTTCCCTCCCTCCCGCCCAGTGCTGCCTTCTCTTACACAGCCTTTTCCTAATTTTTTTTTTTAAAAAAGCAAAGCAAACCCAGAAGTGCAAGAGGAATAAAAAAAAATAACCAAGCAAAGCAGGAACCCCGTATTGCCACCCGTTTTGAGTCACCCCAACAAGACCTCGGCTGCCCCCCCATCCCCCATGGGAGCTCACCAGGGCACAAACAAATGCCACGCACTAATTACAGGCATAAAGCTGGAGCTTTGCTACAGTTTTGGGTTGTTTGTTTTATTTTCCAGGCAGAGCAGGAGCAAACCAGGATCCTGTGCTCACCATCTCTCCTCCTCACCTCCTGGGGACCTACGAGGGGGAAGGCAAGCATGGCTGGGGATGGGAGGCCCCATGTGTACCCTCCCATTGCGAGTGGGTGAGTGACGGTGTTTCCACACCAACTCCCCGGCTAAAACGGCACAACGGCAACGATCAGCCACAGGCTCCGGGCATCTGCTCCCTCTAACCGAACAAGAAACCCAGTTTAACTGAGCCATTTGCCTCTTTACTGAGGACCCACTGCAGTCGTTGAGAGCAGGCAAGCGGTGTCATTTTCAAAGAGGAAAATCCATTTGTCTAGGATTACATGCCACAGAAAATGATTACACAGCTGCAGAGGACAGAGCTTCCCAAGTGAAGCCACTAGTCCCGTGGGACACGTGGGTGCAGGTCCTGGCCCCACACAGCCCCAAGGACGCATGGGAATTGCTCATGGATGGCCGGATCTGGACATCAGCACACTCTGCAGGAGCTGCCCCGTGTCCTGTGCTCTTCCTAGATTAGAAAATAATAACCACAGAGCATTACGGGTGAAACTCCTGAGGTCCTGCAGGTTTCTGAGCTCTGCCATGACTAATATCACAATGGGAAGCGATCAGTGACTCATGTGGGTGGTGCTGCACTGGTGTTGAACACTGCGCTCCACCCCTGACTGCATTCAGGCGCCCCGGCCGTTGCTCTACGTGGAAGTGAAAAGCCACCCCGGCTGTCTGAGCAGAGAGGGAGCAGCCTGGCAAAGCCCCGGTGGCACCACAGGACAACGGCATTGCCATCGGTGTCACCAAGACATGGGTGCTGCTGGAGGGACCAGCAGAGCCTGACACCAGGATTTGGCGACCACCAGGCACCTCGCCACAGCTGAACCTCACTGAAGAAACCCCACATTTGTGGGAGTGGTGCCAATGGGGACAGAGCAGGGACAGAAAGACAATGGGGACAAACGGGATGGGTGAGGGAGTGAGGAGGCCAGCAAGCAGCAGTACCAGCATCTCTCCCACACCCCATTTTCCATGAGGACCCCATGGCCACCACCAGTTAAGAGCAGTAACCCCCATGCTGTGGCAGCCACCTGCCCTACAGCCCCAGCAGGAAGATCCCAACCCCCAAAAAGCCATTTTCCTCCCAAAAAAGGAGCCATTTCATCTGGTGGCTCCAGGGCCAGGACACAGCGAGGCAGCAGCCACTGCACTCATGACCCCCTCGGCCCTGGTGAGCAGCAGTTTCCTCTTCAGAAGCTGCTGGGTTTTACATCCCCCCTGCGACGGGGAGATGGTGTGGGGGGTGATAGGACTCATTCCCCCCAAAAAGTCCCTCTCACTTCATGACATTCACTTCAGCATTGCAGATGTGAAGTTGAGGGTGCAGAGGAGTGGCCGGCAGCCGTGCACAGGGAAGAGAAAAGCCCAACTTCCTCTATTTTTTGTTCTTCCAAGCGAGATCTGAGCCCGTACATAAAAGGAAGCGCTGAAATCGCACGCCCTGTAGATAAAAGACAATGACTCTGTCGGCACCAAACCCCCCCAGGAATGCTGCTCTCCCCGGCCTGAGGGTTGGCAAAGAGACACTACCAGAAAAGGACCCAGCTCCCGCACCACCCTCTCATGGCACCTTTGGACAACTCTGGACAGAGTTTCCACCAGGAAATGTCCTGCTGGCACGAACACAGCAGTGAATATCTTCCTGCAGGCCACTGGTTAATTAAGGAGCTCTTTTCATAACGAGTTAACAAATAGCGTGTGCGGCTACAACAAATTACACTCTCGCTTTGCTGTGTGCTCACTCCTCATCGCTGCTGTGCTCTGCAAGCCAGGGCACTTTTGTGGAGGGAGTCTGCATCGAGAAAGGGAGCCTGAGCTCAGGGCAGGTCCTGAAAGCACCCAGGCACCTGCAAACAGGGCTCCTCCAAAAGCAACAGCTGAGGCTTTGAGAAAATTTGGCAGATTTAGCTTAAATACTCAGGTTTCTGAAGCAGGAACCACTCGTGCTGCGTGCAGCAGGAACGAGAAATGACAACGGCCGTTACAACTGGGGCTGAGCAGCACCTCTGCCGCAGCAGACCTACTTTCACAGTGCGGGATGACGCAAGGCAGCCACGGCCACTTCCACTGCACGGCAGAAGCGATTTCCTTTGAAATTCAATCTCAAAGCCATCGCTGAACAAGAAGAAGAGGCAGCTGGGTAAGGAACACCAACAGCACCAACAAACACGCTCACCAGAACTGTTTCAAGGTGTCAAATTTAACGCTGCAGATCCTTAGAGCAGAAAAGTGGAGGTGGAACAGAAAGGAAGAACAATTTCACGCAGGCGCAGGGATCATCTGTGTGTTGTATCAGGGTGGGACCTACTACCAGGGTGCCCTGCTCCTGCAATGAGACTCACAGGATCTCTGCAACCACAGGCTGAAAACCCAAAAAACTCTGCAATCCAAACCCCATCTCACGTGCAAAAGTTTTATTGACCCGGGGCTGGGTGGCTGAGCCCGCTCACGGTTTTCTCTGACAGAGTCAGATCTGCTCTGTGTGTGCTCAGAAAAGCTCTGGTCCCATTTTCTGCCCTGCGAGGCCCCAGCCCGCAGCCACCGCAGCGCAGATCTGTCCTCTCGGAAGGTGCCATGGGTCTCATGAGCCCCATTCTGGTGCCTCACACCGGGTCCACCGCAGAGCAGCCGCTGGGCAGGTGAGTCACACACCACGCTGGCAACAGTCCCTCTGGGGTGTGATCCTACGCCTTCTCCCTCTTCTCCAGAGCTCCACCAGTGGCCAGAGGACAGATCCTGTGGTCAGAGATCTCACGATGGAAAACTCTGTGAAGAGATTTTTTTAAAATGTATGGATTTTGAAGCGATACAGTTTTGTTTAAGCCCTAGACCCACACGTTGTGTCAGCACAACATGCAAAAGACTTTCTTCATGCATAACTGCTCCGACAATTAACCAAAAAAATGACCTAACCAATCCTGACAGGTGTCAAGCACCAACTCCAGAGACTGGTTTTGGGGAGAGGGCTGTACAGCAGAGCATGCAGCACTATAAGCAGCAGTGGGAATAGTATTTTTACTACTTTGGTGCCTCAAAACTCCGTTTTTGAGATCCCACTGCACAGCAGAGTGGAAGCAGAAGAGAAAGCAGCGTGCAGCTCAGGATGGTCCTGCTG